ACCACTCAACCCCACTCAACCCCACTCAACCCCACTCAACCCCACTCAACCCCACTCAACCCCACTCAACCCCACTCAACCCCACTCATACGCCACAACCCCACACAACGTCACCCAACCCACCCTACCCCACCTAGTATCACCCTACCACCCCCACCATACCCCACCCTACTTCACCCTACCCCCACTTAACGTCAACCAACCCACCCTTTCCCCACCTACCAACACGCCCCCCCCCCTTCCAACCATCGTAACCACCCTCCACCACTCTACTTTAAACTAACCCACCAACGTCTTTGATGTCAAATCTAAAAATAGACAAGTGGCTAGAGGAGGTAATTTGACGAGTTGATCAGATCGAGGCTTGTGGGTCATCTAGATCTAGTTTTTGCTACATTGGGCAATAACTTGTAGCTGGTAGCTTGGGGCTACATTTGGCAGTAACTTCTGGTGGGTAGCAAGTTGCTATACCCACTTCTAACTGTGCTAGGTTTGTCATTTTCCTGGAAATAAAGGTTTACAGTTAGATGAGGTGTACAGTTAGATGAGGAATCAAAGGTTTACAATGGAGACAAGCGAGTTGACGAGATTCCTTCCATAGTGTTGTTGACATGGAATAAAAACGTGCTTTTTAGATTTAGACCGTAAAAAAAAAATAAAAAAAAAAACTTAAGCCTAAAATTAATTTAGAAATTTTATATTTTTAGAATAAATGCTATAAAAGTTGCAAATCCAGAGAACTTGAAAATAATTTGTTGAGTTTAAGGCTACATTTCTATTTATTTTCATCAAGCCTAAGTTATAACCGGATGTTTCACTTTCGTAAGACAAATATTGATTGGCTGTACAGTAACTTAGTGATCGATAACTATTTGTTTACAAAACTTTGCAGATCAAGTTTTTAAATAACAATGCAAATTTAAAACCCCATGACCTAGTTTTCTATTTTTAGCTTACAATGTGTACAATAAAATTTATGTCGGCCTATCCAATAGCAGGATGCCATTGTTTATGTCGCCATTACACGTGAAAACCAAATTGTTTTTGCTTTTTTTTTATTTTTATTTAGTTATCGAAAATATTAAAAACATCAAATACGTCCAATCTTTAGTAAAGTCCGAAAAAAACCAGACAGACAGGATTTTATAACCATATTAATTGTAACTACGCCGTGCAAGATTTTTAAATTAATTTATGCACGTCTCAAATACCTTTGAGACTTTTCTCGCTTGTGTCCATTAGATGAGGTGTACAGTTAGATTAGGAATCAAAGGTTTACAATTAGATGAGGTGTACAGTTAGATTAGGAATCAAAGGTTTACAATTAGATGAGGTGTACAGTTAGATTAGGAATCAAAGGTTTACAATTAGATGAGGTGTACAGTTAGATTAGGAATCAAAGGTTTACAATTAGATGAGGTGTACAGTTAGATTAGGAATCAAAGGTTTACAGTTAGATGAGGAATCAAAGGTTTACAGTTAGATGAGGTGTAGAGTTAGATTAGGAATCAAAGGTTTACAGTTAGATGAGGAATCAAAGGTTTACAGTTAGATGAGGTGTAGAGTTAGATTAGGAATCAAAGGTTTACAGTTAGAAGAGGTTTACAATTAGATGAGGAATCAAATGAGTGTTAACTGTCAGTTAAATCTTGAACATGTTATTACGTCAATCTAACCGGAGTTCTCTCAGGTATAAATTAAGTTACATTTTTTATACTTTTTAATTGCTGATAATTTTTTAGGTATTTTCTTTATCTTTAATTATATTATCAAAGAGAATATTTTTAGGTGGATAATTATACAAAAATGACATAATGTTTTGCTCTTTGAGTGCTAAAAGGTAGAGTATTTCTATTTTCATTTCCCTACTTTCGATTTCACACGGAAGTTGATCTGATCAGAGTGGGTGATGTCCCCTGCTGAAGGCCTATATTGACAGACTTCATTCAATCTCGCTCCCAATTCAAGGGCAGCAACTGTTGTCTGTCCCTTCAGTGCAATGTTTGCGGTTGTTCTTTTGATGAAATTCGCCCTCTTTTCTTTTAACTGAAAGATTTACCTAACATGAGAGGATTTAATTAAAATAAAAACTTTAGACGAATTAAATATTAATTTTAATTTTTTTTTTTTAAAACTTGATAAGATCAAATGTTGAAGTAATTAAAGACATTTGTTTTTTAAATTATTAAAGGGCAACCGAAGCAAACCCAATCTTCTTCGATTTGCACCCCCCCTCGAGATTTTGATTTGCACCACCCCCCTCAAACTTTCGATTTGCACCCCCCTCAACCTTTATATTTATTTTTCAAACCCATTTTGGCGCCCCCTGAGGTCGGCGACATGTCCCCCCCCCCCGCCCCCCCCCCCCCTCGCTACGCTACTGCAATCATTCATTTGAAACCTGAGTTTTAAGGATAGGTCAAAGCTAGGGCAGTTTGTAACAAGACAATCACTAATTTGTTTTTTGTATTTTGTAACAAGACAATCACTCATTTGTTTTTACTTTCTCGTATATACGAAGTATAGAGAAAGTCTTGTAATCGTGCAAAAAAAAAATCGAGATTTTTACAAATCTCGACGTTTCACACCCCACTGATACGGAAAAACAATATTTTGCAATCTTGTCCGTATGTCTGTGTGTCTGTCTGTGTGTCTGTCTGTGTGTCTGTCTGTCTGTCCGTGTGTAAACGCGATAACTTGAGTACCCTTACAGCTAGGTTGATGAAATTTCATATATAAGTATTTAATCAAAATCGTAGATCCGTATCAACTTTTGAGCGATTTCCGATAACCGGAAGTGGTACTTTTCCTACTTTGAATTTTTTCAAAAGCCTATAACTTGAGTACTATTTCAGATAGATAAATGAAATTTCATATGTAAGTAAAAGATCTAATTCTCTACCTTCTATAAAATTTTGAGTCATTTCCGTTGACTGGAAGTAGTACTTTACGCTACTTCCGATTTCTCAAAAAACTAATGTAAATTTTAAAAGTAATAATAATATTGCGCACTATTATGCGCTTTTTTAGTTGGCGTTCACTTGGTGTGCAATTAATTTGTCTACGAGATTTTATTCTATTTTTAAAACTTTAAGTATTTAAAATGGATTAAAAATCATGTCTATAGCCCGATTTCCCATCCCCTGTTATTTTATATAAGAATATTCGAGAAAGTTTAGGGGAGATCACTCCCGGTTTATTTGTAACAAGACAATCACTCATTTGTTTTTGTAACAAGACAATCATTCATTTGTTTTTGTAACAAGACAATCACTCATTTGTTTTTTGTAACAAGACAATCACTCATTTTTTTTTGTAACAAGACAATCACTCATTTTTTTTTTGTAACAAGACAATCACTCATTTGAAACCTGAGTTTTACAGAGGCGCTCAATGCTAGGGCAGTTTACACAATTTTATCATAGACTGACAGTCTCTCCATTAGACATAAGCTAACAGATTCACACATAGACTGAGAGTGTCACACATAACCTGACATTGTCATCGGCTGACTCGACTATTTCACCTAGAGGTTGCTGGATAATTGATGGATGCATGAATATTTTCTAGCACTTACCTCCCTTGCTGCTAGAGTTACCGCCGCGTGAGACCCTGGGGGAGGGTCATCGAGTTCTTGTGAGTCAGAAAGTTTTCAAGTCGAGTGCAGTAATTAGCCACAGATGAGGACACGTGACGGACGATTGGCTCAGTCCAATTTAAAAAACGTTTACTAGAAAATTTGTGGTTACGTCCCTTTAACGATTTTTTTTTCTGGGGAGGAAAATTAATTATCTGCCCATGAACTGAGCTACCCTTTGGAAATTTTGAAGCAATTCTGGCCCTACATAACGAGAAATATCCATGCGCACTTAAATAGGCAGTGGGGTGAGCTTAAAAAAATATTTAAAAGTTCGGTTATGATTTTTAAAATCAATTTTTTTGTGAAGAAAAAAAAAGAATACCTAATTTCAAAATACGTCCCTAATTTTTCTTTCAAATGCCAGTAACTATCCTAAGCTGTGTAGTTCATGCTGTGCCCACCAAATATCTTTTGATATGGTAATTTCAGCACGAAGCTTTTAAAACTATTTCATCCAATTGCTGCCCTTGTAAATAAAAACATGCGGAAATAGAAAAATACTCAATAAAAAACCAAGCAATCTACTATATTTATTTTCATGTAACAGTCAACGGAAAACAGTTGGGAAGGGGAAGCAACAATAGTCCAACACTCATATTAAGTCTCACACGGTCTGGCCGTGCTAAGAGCTATCACAGCTAGAACTATTTTATTTCAGACTTGTGCTTCGTCACTACATTGTTCACGCGAGCAATAGAGTTTTGAACCCACGACCCGCTAACACTACAAGCAACAGGAGCATTGTAGTTGTTGATCTGGTTTCTTAAGATAACAAGCTAAGATGGTAACCACGACAAAAGATGACCAGTACACACACGTATTGTTAAATGAACTCTGTCATGCTTGCTCAAGTCAGAAAACTGTAGCAATTTGTACATGAATGAGTTGAATTAATATGACTAGCGCTGAACAATTAACTGCTGGCGACAAAATGATCATGGACGGTAGACTCCTATCAATTTGCTTATGATCAATACATTGTTGTTTATGTAAAAGTTATCATCATATTTCTTTTCATATTTCTTTTCCTTTTATCAACAAGTATTTCATCATGCCTTGTTGTTTAGCTCAGGGGTCTCCAAACTTTTCAGTCCGAGGGCCGCATTAACTATCAAATTTCAGTTCAGGGGCCAGTTTCTTCCAGGCATGTCTTTGATTTTTCTAGGCAAAGTTCCTCAGCCATCACCAACAAACGTTTTTTTCCGTGGACAAAAAGATCTCCGCGGGCCGGATGAGAGGACTCCGCGGGCCGCATCCGGCCCGCGGGCCGTAGTTTGGAGACCCTTAGCTAAAAGTCCAAGTCATACGTTGTTCTCCTTTGTTTGTCTTGTATGAACGTATTAAATCAAGTTTTCTATAGCTAAAACTCTTCGTCATCGTCGTACGTCTTTCTCCTTCCTTTAGACGTGTGGTTGGACTGTCCAGCTTTGGTGGCGCCAACTGTCTTCTGCTGGTAATGATTTCTGGCGGGCTGACGACTCCTGGAGGAACACAGCTCAAAGTAGGTTTTCCTGAAGTTCTTGTTGAGGCCGACGTAGATGATGAAGTTACAGGAGCTGTTGATACAGATGAAAATGTTCATGACCTGGTACATGATCACCGCCATGTTTGTCGGGTGGTTCTCGGAGTACGGACCGTAAAACAGGATGGGCACGTTGATGGGGACGGTCATGGTGACGCACGTCAACGTGTAGACGGCACACACCGCTAGCAGCATGATGGTCGTGCGGTTACTTGACACTTCCTTGGACGTCATCTTCTTCCGGTTCATCGAGACGACCTTGACCTTGATGGAGATGACGATGCAGCCAGCGACCGTGAAGAGAGGGGCGACAACCACGAGAGAGTACACGCACATGTCTTCAATGACACGAACAGCGACAGTGTCTCGCGCGTGTAGGGGCGAGAACTCTCTAAACCCGACTGAAATATTCCGAGTTGGGTCCCATTCGTATTTCAGCTCAAACCAGAAGCTGGGATAGATAAAGAGACTCAGGGGGTACAACACGATGAAGACAACCGCACACCACGTCCTCTTTGGTGTGATGATGCGATAGGCACTTAGAGGAAAGAAAATAACGACCAATCGTTCGAAAGTTATTAACATGGGCATAGTCAGAGAAACGAAACTAGAAGAATAGTCGAGCGTCATGAAGATGGCGTAGAACACAACCAGAATTTGAGAACTTAGTTCAGAGAAGCCTTCAAATCCCCGTATGTCCGAGGTCTCGTACAAGATCTTGGGGATGCTGTTGTAGGCGATGAGGAAGATGATGTCCGCCACGGCCAGACTGACCAGCAGGATGTTGGAGCATTTCTTGAGCCCGTGCCTCAGCAGGATCAGGATACTCAGCGTGTTGCCGACCACACCCAGCACGCCGATCCCGGGGGTGACGGCGAACATAAGGATCTTCATCCACAGCCGGCGGGTGGCGGCGTCCACGTCCGGTAAATTGACCCCCGGCTCAGTGGCTGACCAGTTCCAGACATTTGGGCTGGAACTCTCCGGTGGGGAGTCAACGTGCGTCACGTTCATGTTGAGTCAACTGACTCTCAAGCTACGGTGTATTGAGGCTGACTCTCAAACTACGGTGTATAGAGGCGCATGCAGACTTTACATTAAATCCGATAAAGGAAACGATTTCAAATAATTAGATCGATTTATATCGTATTGATCTACCAGTAGGTCACGAAAAACTCCAGGCTATACTGACTTACATTCAATGATTGGTTTTGTCTTAGTTCAAGTCACGTGACGTTGTCAGAACGAGGATGTGTAAGCACAGCAATTAGCCAATCAAAACCATCAGGTCATTATGGTTGGTCGATGGTAGTTTGGTTAAAGTCCAAATCTCGTGAGAAGGGTGAGATTATCCTCTTCATTATCCTTCGATTAATAATTTTCTTTAACAACGTTGCGTCAGAAGATATATCTACCGTCGTTACCACAGTCGTTACCTCGATCATCCGTTGTAGTTACCTTGTCTGTGAGAGGAAAACAAAATTGTTTAATTCTCGTATGGATTCGATCCGCCAATATCTAATCGTCGACTCGACGTTTCCCCCAGCGTCCAAACGCGCCTCTGGTCACTACTTTAGTTGAACTAGTTAGGTTGTTCTTGTAGCGCTAATTAAGTCTCGAGAGAAATAATGAGTGTGTCCGGGAACTGGGACAAACGAAAATAAGGTCAACGCCCAGAGGAGCATAATAAAGACTTACGTAATAGTCAGGGTAGTTCAGACTGGACACGCTATTGGTTGGGGAGTTGTTCAGACTGGCCACGCTATTGGTTGGTGAGTAGTTCAGACTGGCCACGCTCTTGGTTGGTGAGCGATCACCGTTGTGTCGTCATTGATTGTGTTGCAGAAGTTCCTCACACTAGTGCATACCTACAGTAGTGGCAGACACTAGTACCTTCCTACATTTGTCGCACACTCCTACAATAGTAGCACACTGGTGCACTCATACAGCAGTAGCTCACTGGTGCACTCATACAGTAGTAGCACACTGGTGCACTCATACAGCAGTAGCACACTGGTGCACTCATACAACAGTAGCACACTGGTGCACTCATACAGCAGTAGCACACTGGTGCACTCATACAGTAGTAGCACACTGGTGCACTCATACAGCAGTAGCACACTGGTGCACTCATACAACAGTAGCACACTGGTGCACTCATACAACAGTAGCACACTGGTGCACTCATACAACAGTAGCACATGGGTGCACTCCTACAACAGTAGCACACGGGTGCACTCCTACAACAGTAGCACACGGGTGCACTCCTACAGCAGTAGCACACGGGTGCACTCTTACAGCAGTAGCACACTTGTATTATTCCCCGGACGCAAAGTCTGAACTGCAGACAAAGAGGGAGGCTAAACTTCTGTGGCCTCCAAGGGGATGTAACTGTTGAGATTCTCGAGGTTTAGATACGCGATTTGGCACGGTGCACCAGCGCAGGTTGAGGTTTCAATGTGTGGGTCATCTCGGGAAATGTTAGGGCAGCCTTTCATGTTTAACCCTTCACCTTTTAACACAGTCAACATCCAGCATAAAAAGATGGTTGTCATTCTCATCGTGACGTACAACGTCACGGCTAACTACGTCATCAGGGAGGCTTCCTGGCATATCGTGTCTGTCCAGTTCTGCTACTGACGTCACTGCAAACTACGTCATTCCTGGCATTCTGTTCGGTTCTGCTTAGTATGCCATACTTTTTCAGCAGACGGACAATTGAACGCTGTAACTAGCTCAAAAAAAAAAATGATATTTTCTGAACATATTTTAAAATTCTGACTTTGTATGAGAACCACATGCTGACTGCAGTTGTGATTATGTTGTACATATGTTGTATGTTTGTGTATGTGGGTCTGATAATCTACTTGCTACATACCTTGCTGTTTTCATCCTTAAGACAACGCCAGCTAACGCTGGGTATAGTGGTCTAAGTTGCTGGTGTGTCGTGTCTCTAATGTTGTATACAACTACAGTCAGTAACTACAGGAACTCCCTTTCAAATGGCGTCAGTAGCGTAGCGAGTGGGGGCGGGGGGGGGGGGGGACATATGTCCCCGGGCGCCGACCTTAGGGGGGTGCCAAAATGGGTTGGAAAAATAAATTGAAAGGTTGAGGGGGGTGCAAATGGAAAGTTCGAGGGGAGGGAGGTGCAAATGGGAAAGTTTGTCCCCGGGCGCCGGGAAGGGTCGCTATGCCTCTGAATGGCGTCGCTGTAAAACAAGTTTACTGAGCGACGGACAACTGGGCGATGGGACTGTTGGACAAAATTTTGACGTCTTCGATTGTAACTGATTTATTTTGTTTTGATTAAAAAATGTGTGAGACATTTTTAATTTGTAAAACTTTTTCAGCTTTAGGAATTATTTTCGCTTTCCATTTTTTTTATATTAGCTCCATATTAGCTCCTGTAACATATGCTATGGCAAAGGTTTGTCTGTGTTACGTTGTCCTCGCATTTTTTGTACACTAGCTTGATCCCCAGTCAGTTAGTGATGTCTCAGTCGATCGTTGGTCACATATTGACGCAAATTTGTATAATTTAATTTTTTTTTTAATTCTAGCTGAAAACCTTAATGTTGTAGCCCTAATTGTCAGTTGTTTTTTGATGTGTTTGTAAGTAAATGCTTGTTGTTTTTTAGCAAGTGCTGATTAGTCGTATATTCTGTAGTTTATATTGTAACAATAGTCAGTGTGTTTTAAGATATATGAATTGTTATACTTTCAGAATGCAGTTTAATACTTCGTATATTTTATCTGAATGTGCGCTTTTTTTTATTTTTAAAAACTTTTAAACAGTTTAATGTTTTTAAAAAGTAGGTACGTAGGTTTTATAAATTTATTAACTTTTTCTGTATTTTTAGGTGCTTGGATAGTTAGGTATTTTTTGGACATGTTTTATAAAAACATTTTGTAGCCCAACTGTTCCTTATTTTTCTTACAATTTCTAATAATTTAATTTAATTTCTAATAATGTAATGTTCATCGTTGTTTAAAAATATATGTAAAAAAATTTTTCTGAACCTACTACGTGTAAAATGTCTTGGACTCAACAATTGCGACTTGTTTATAAACTACCAACAATGAGAAGACTATGAATAGATCGTGGGAAGAGCTTATAAAAACCTCCTCCATTACTCTCTTGTATAAATCACGTGATGTTTTGAATAAACAAAGCTTGTCAGGGGCGCCTCCATTGGTAGATTTAAAAGTACTTTCACCAACCAGAGAGCTCCAGTAATGAAAGCTAACGGGCTAGTACTTTACTTTGATAACCCCGAGTGCCAAGGCCTGTCTAGTGGGCAGACTTGGGATTTCTGAACAAACTCTCTAGGTCAGTGGTTCTTAATCCTAATCCTCCAATATCCCAGGATTAATTCCTCCTGGAATACGTCTGCCGAACCCATGAGTGCGTGCAGCTATAGCTTTGATCTCAGTCCCATAGATCATCAAACACAGGGAAAACAAACGATATCATTAAAAAATCTGTAATTATTCATTTTATTTTTAGAAAATATTTCATTTAACTCTAGCATCGAATAAATGAAAGCAGATTTAAAAAAAAAAAATTAAACCCTCTTTTTATATTGTTTCGTCTCCTTGAACCAATTTAACGAAGATAAGTTTTGTTTTAAATCAAGCGGCCTGCCTGAAGGTTTCTAAAAATAATGAATCATGTTACATTGTAGACGCTGTTAACCCTGAACGCTGGCAAGAATACAAAACTTCATTCAAGTTTAGGTCTCGTCTGCGATAAATAGCAGTCCCCCATGTGTGTGTCACCACCCCACCCCCCATCTAATGTCAGTCGGCAGTCTGTCAGTAACATTTGTGGGCCATTAATACGCTTGAAGGCCGCTGCTAACAAAACGGGAACCGAATTTGCGTGCCGTACCCGGACCCCAGGGGGACGGGCATAATGGACGTTTTCTTCTTTTCTAGACACGTCAGCCATCCAATAAGCAAATAGCATTACACATTAAAGATGGCGGACTAGACTAGCCACAGGTGACCCACGCCATTTGCTGCAGACGATAGTAGCCTGGGGCCACCAATATACCCCCCCCCCCCCCCCACCGTCCTGAGATTTTTTTGGATCTATCAGCTAGGGACGTCTTGTCCTGAAGCTAGACTCTAAGAATAGCTTTGTATAAATAGACAGACAATGAAATTACGAGCATAAAAAGAAATCCCACGCAAACTTTAAAGTTAAAGACTTGGTACTCGTGATGATATGATTATCTGCCCCTGTTGTTATTGGTAAGTTACTATCTGCCCCTGTTACTATTATTGGTGAGTGTTTAACTGCACTTTGTCTTATATATGAGTGGTTATTTCCCATGTTAAAACTATCCTCCTGTTGATGGTATCTGCTGTACCTTTGAAAGGTCAAGGTTGATTATCGTTTGACTGTTGTAGAAGGTCAAAGTTTAATTTGGTAAGACAGTAGTAAAATGTCAAGGTTGACTGCGCGAAAACAGTAGTAGAAGGTCAAGGTTGAATGCGATATGACGGTAACATGAGGTCACGGTTGACTGCGGGATGACGGTGGTAGAAGGTCAAGGATAGCCGCGTTACACCCGAAGTGTATCCCTATGTCAACATGAGCTCTTTGACGCCCCGCTCAACTCACTTCCTCCCGGCCCAGCAAACAGGCCATGATGCGTTTTACACCACGGCGTCCTAGAGAGCCCTCGAGTCAGTCGTTCAGCGAGTCAGTCATTCAGCGAGTCACTCGGGGAAAGAGACGTGAGAAGAGAGACCACTTCCGGTGTACTCTCCGCAGAGATTCTCTAAATCTATCTTCTCTTTCTCTCTAACAATCTGAAGATGTTCTAGTTCCAGAAAGAAAAGAAAAAACGTTAGATCTTGAATTTGAACGCTTACAGAAATGTCTTTAATTTTAAATAACCTTTTTGTTATGTTGAAATGGAATTTAATCCCTGTATTTGTACAAGAAATTGTGGGTAGTGTAAGTTGATCGTGTCGTGGTATTTTAAATCTGTGTCAGGTTGT